CCGCTTGTGACCAGCCGCCAGCCGGATTAAATTTAATTAAATTAATTTAACACAGGAACAAAATACGTAGTCCATTTCACCGCTCATGTCCTTTTCTTTCTGGAAATATTAGGAGGAAGACACTTGTTTTTAAAACAGCGTCATACTGCCTCCTTAGTGACAGGTTAACAAATATGAATTCCAACACTAGCACAAAGTCATGATAGCCATTCAAATTATGATGCCCAAACCCAGACCTTTTTGCGTGCAGAGTTTTGAAAAGAGAAAAGATAACATGGCAAGAGAAGCGTGTGGATGAGGTGGAAATACTAGGAAACTGGTGTTGAAACTAGCCTGACAAATACTCAGCCAAGAATTTGCAGCTGACATTTTGATAACCAACCTGGAGGCCTGAAAATAAATTTATCTGCACACAGCGGAGAAGATGGGATGCTAGAAGAGTGGTCAGCTGTCAGGAACTGCTGTTTGCTCAAGAAGCTGATAGTCCCACAAAAACAGAGAAGGCACAGTGAGAACACACAAGGCCTTTAAGATGGTCCATTGCTGCCAATAACTGGCCTGTTGTGTCCCACATCACCCAGCAGTATGCTTTGGGTTGATAACATTGTCTGTATAGGTGACCAATTCCCATCCCTTTATACACGTGCAATCTTCTTCTCATCTTCAGTTATAACTCACTCTTATTTGCAGCCTTAGGGAAGTAGTACCAAAGATAAAAGGAACAAGTCAGAGATTAATTTTTATAATTTGCATTTTATCATTTTATTATTCGATAGGTTTCTTGGCTCGAGTTTCATTTTCTGATTCACTGTTTCTCACAGCACTACTAATTTTGAAAGTGCTGTAGTCCATGTCTAAGACCTGCACTCTTCTAGCATGTCATCTACAAGAAATTCTTGCTCTTGCAGTGGGACAGCAGGTTAACTGTGTTCAACACTACAAACCCAGCTTCACCCATCAAACCCAGATCTTTCCTGTAACACATCGTATGCCTCCTGATCTGGTATGTCTGTCATTTTTCAACAGTTCTAGAAAAATCAATAATCTAGTAGAAAGCCACAGTACAGTTTGCTTCCAAAAAGACTTTAAAAGACAAGCTTTCAGCTTTTCACATGTGCAAGCTGAGGCTTTCTGTGCGTTAATTCTGCCCTGGAGGGAAGACAGCTTTAGTTCTAACAAACTTTTTATTCAGGTCTATGCTGTACGTGCTTTTAAGGACAGTATGTGGGACCATCTCCCTACCTACATGGAAAAGTAGTTGCTTTGCTGAATCCATCATACAATGGATTAATATTTATGCAGTACCTCTGAAAGTCAAGAGAAGCAGTTTGAACAGAGATCACCTGAGCAGTGCAAGAGAAAGTCAGTTGGCATTTTTATGGCAATATTTAAATAGCTCATTTGTTAAGTACACTGCTGCTGCCCAAAACAAAACTGCAAGATCAAAATACATGGCCCAGTTTACTTACAGGTAGACAGAATCATGTCTGGTTGTCCACTTACATTCAGATGAAAATGCAAGGCGCTCTTCATCAGATGTGCCAGTAAAACAGCCCTAGCTGAGCTCTGATATGAAACATGGTAAACCACAAATACTGCTTAACCCCGCCTACTTACTTACCTTTTTATTTAAAAAAGCCCCAAACAGACTAGATACTAATCTCACATCTGTTTAAAAAAAAAGTTATGAAGTGTCTACTTTTTAGTATCAAACACACATTTTACAGAAAAAATTATTAAACTGTAATCAAGAAGGCTAAGTATTTCTTAAAAAAAGGAGGGGGGGAATACAGCAGAAATAATCACAGCATTTGGTTCTATTCAGATGAATTTTTGACCCTAACATTTGAAAAAATTCAGTTATAATAAAAAGGGGAAGAAGGACTGAAGTTGCTTAAGGATGAGTGAGCTCATCCAGAAGAAATGATGGTGTAGCATTTTAACCTGCCTTTGAAGACATCAGGAGAGTCAGCAAGACAGCTGCCTACAGAGGTGTTCTGATCCTTTCCAAAATTAACCATCTAAGGCTACATTCAACTAAAAAAATGCATTCATCTAGAAACTAGGTGCCTCACACTTCCTGACATCTTAAGTAAGTATCAAACCCAATGGCAGGTAGGCAGAAATTATCCTCAGGTACTAGAAAGAGGCAGGTGAAGGAGTCGGATTCAAAGCACTTACCCCACTGAGGAAACAGCTGTCAAAAGTCCACACAGTTAGGGTGCATTTTATCATACAAATTAATGATAAATATATAATTATTTTAAAGAAACAGGCTTAAGTTTCATTGGAAACTATTAATCACCTGATTTTCCTATGCTTCACTTAAGGGAAACATTACTTACTACTGTAGAATTCCTCATGATGTATTGTTGGAAGTACAGCATTGCCAACACTTTGCAAGGTCTCCACGGAAAAACTGGGGTGCAAAGGAGCAGTTAGAGAAGGAAGGACAAGCTTGGATTACCTTAGATCCTCCACATTCCTTTTTCTACTACAGGTAGAAAACCACTAGATTTTTTTCCTTTAACAAAACGTGCTGTTGGTAATTGACTGGGTAGTGGTTTGGACTCAACACTGACTGGCTGGTTTGCATAGTTGTGATAATATTCTGAGACTGTCATGAAAAAGGAAGTAGCCATTTAAACCTTTTCTGATGGCCTGCAATTTTTCAGTGGAATAGCATGAGAAAAGGAAAGCTTTTCTTCTTCTAAAAAACAAGAGGCTTTCTCCTTTTGAACCTAAAGGTTTAGACAAAGCAGTGCTGGGATCTAAGCATCTCCAAAATTAGTTATGGAAATACTCAAATGCAACAATGATTGAATGTATTAAGCTAACTACAGTTACATTTAATAATTTGATTGGAAATGAACTTCATCCTACTCCTCTCTGCCTACTTACCAAAAAAATTACAAAGTTTTGTGCAATCTATTTTTTATTACACATGACACAACAGCACAAGTAACAAAAGAAAAAGAAAACACACAATAGAGTTAATCAGGAGGTGTCTACAGCAAAACTGAAGTGTAAATTCTCATCATATGCACTGGTACAAAGTTAAATTGAAACAGGCTTCAGCAAGGGTATGGAGACATTAGCCTCCACATTAGGGGACAGGGCATGTAACTTCTAAAGAAAGTTCAGGCATTTCTGCACCGAATATCTTGTTATTGCCAAATTCATTTAAATATATATTCATACCACTATATAAATTTAGTATGGAGTATGTACACACGCGCAATAATCCATGTGTATATATATAGCACTATATTCACATGAACAATGAGTTTGGATTATGATGCACTGACAGTAAGTTATTGGCAACACATTAGTTAACATTCAGTTTATTTACATAAACATGTAGTATGACATTTTCTGCTAAGAACATAAAAGTTAGATCATTGTACATACAGATGACTGACAGAAAGAGGAGCCCTCCATAAACACACTTGAGAGTTTACTTACTTTCATTTACAACCTCATGTATCAAGCTGTGTAAGTGAAGGTAGGACAAACTTGTGCTTGAACATTTCAAGAGGAAAACACACTTTATAAATAAATGCATGGATTTTATATATTTACAATACATACAGCATATAAATTATTTTATAATTAACCCAAAACAAGGTACTATGGTACTCCAACAGCCAGCTGTGATGAATCTTGGACATTTTTCATGAGTAACATCAAGACTAGCCATGGGAGGTCTCTGGTTGACCAAACTGCCTAGAATGGCTTGAGGCATATCACAGCTCAGTTGTGTAACACGCAAAAAGCTTTGCTGCACTAAACTGAAGACTGTGCTCTTAACAACCTACTATGTGCATATCAGAGGCGCACATTTTGTGTTCTTGATGTGTCAAACACCCATCAACCAAGAAAACTGATGTTTCTGGAGAATCTCTGGAAACTTTTCAATGTCAGTAAATAGCCATTTATAGACACCTTCAATTTTTAAGCATGCAAATCACTACTAACACTACTGCCTGTGTGAAACTCCGAAACATGGACTGTATGTACATGAACCCAACCCACTAAATGCAAATTAGGCTCCTGGGCTTGGGCCACATTCAACCTGACAGCTTTTGCAATGCTGACTTTTCAGAGAAAATAAAGAGACTGCTAATATTGCTGAAGATACTGTGCTCATTTCCCAACATCACGTAAAACTCTCCTTATGCTGGAGTGGATCAGCTGTTACAGGTTCCCCACACTGTTTAGCAGCATCCAGCAGCTTACAGGATCAAGCTTTTAAAAAGAAATGGTGAAGCCACATCTCTGCAAAGTGGCTTCTTCCCTGTACTTGTGCTGCTGTTGTCTTTTTTCAGAAAGTATCTTCACCCTCTGCAATGTCAATGATTGTGTGAAGCAAGTCTTCAAAAGTCGGGCGCCCCTCTGGTTTCTAAAAATAAGAAGCATGCACAGCTGTGATCAGAAAGCAATAAAGTTGTCTTGACTTTGATAAATTATTGGTCTTGACATCATTCCGTGGCAATGAATTTACCGTTCCATTGGATGTGACATGCAAAAATATGTCCTTGTGCAGATTTTGGATGTGTCACTTAATCTCAGTAAAGATGACCTCTTTTAAGCTTTGAAAAGGCATAAATAGGTGTTGCTGGACTATGCTCTTCATATAATTCATTATTTTGCATAGTACTACATTTTTTCATTTTTCTTCCCCATCCCCACCTCCTCCAATGAACTGCCTCTATCATTTTTATGCAAGTTGTTCATGCTCCTAAGAATTTTGAGTGTCATTCTCTGAAGCCTCTTTTACTTCAACGTTATTTTCTGGACTCCAAAATGAGACTGACAGACTCACAGACTTACGCAACTGCATCCTTCATCTACTCTGTTTTCCACAGATTTCCTTATGTATCATAAGATCCTGTTTTATTTAATTATGGCTATACACTGAGGTAGTCTCTTCGCTGACCTTGCCACCACAGTTATTTTAGCATCTTCTGAATGTCTGGGTAACTTGCACTTTTCCTCCATTTACCAGCCTCTTTAGATTTGTATGAACTGCTGAATTTTGAAGCCTCAGTATTCACTTCCCTCTACAAATCATTAATAAATTTGTTAAATGAGGACTAAGGTACCTGCAGTTAATCATATTTTGTGACAAAGACTGACAGTATCTTGCTATTACTTGTGTCCCATTTGCGATTTGCAAAGATTCTTTCTCTCCCACGTGATGACTGCTTAGATTTTATTGTTAATAACCCCTGGTGAAATCAATAAATTTTTAGTCAATGCATTGATGTTAATATAAATCCTATAAACATATATTAATATTCAAAGAGCATTAACAAATAACTTATTATCTTCCAGGTAAGTTATTATTCTATTTTAATGGCCATTTCAATCAGGTTACCAAGTACAAAAAAAATTTAATGACCTGTAGTTTCCTGGCTCCTGGGAATAGATTTTTTTGAACTGCAGACATTGTTTGTCATTCTACAGCCCCCCACTGTTGTTTTTACCATATTTTCTGCTGCACAAACCAACTGGTTTGTAAATTTTAGATCTCTGCCAGCTGGTTTGATGACTAATCGCTCTCTGTTCCAGCACCTTCTCCCCAAAGACAAGCATCAGACAGTATGTCATCTTTATTACTGGACAAGAACAGTTTTTCCCCAGAACTTTTTGGCAAAGACTAACTAGAAATAAATCATGTAGCTCTTTCCACTCTTGGTTTCCTCGATTGCTCTCTCAAAATTAGAGGCTTCTTACTAAATGCACCTATTCTCTTAGGGACTTTCTGATTTAATACTAGAAAAACTGTTTTATACTGATTTAGTTGACAAAGTTTTAAACTTGGGTTTGCTACCCCATTGACCTCTGAAAATTGCAGAGTCAGTATCCTTTTGGATCAAGAGGATTAATATTACAGTGTATTTTTATTTTTCTTTATAAACCTTAGGATTTGTATTTAGATTCAACTGCAAGTTAATCTGTATTTCCTATATAATTTATAACCAGGTAGTGAAATATTCCTTTAAAAATATGTTCGGTCATTCTGGCATGTTTCTTTAACAATTAATAAACTGAGGCAATATAAAGTCAGGATCTCCACCTCTGGACCATTCTTGACTGAATATTTTTTTCTAGCAGTATCTGTACACAGATATAATCGTGACCAGCACAGATTTAGCAATTATTTTACTTTGTTACTAAATGCCTTTGCATACTTAATCCGACAGTCCGTTTATTTCACAGTTTCTTATCACATCTCTAGTTCAGTTGCAAAACAGGGGGAGATCTTTGTCTTCGCAATAAACACATGAACAGCTGAGAGAGCTGGATACAGTCAGAATGCTGCAACAGAGATCAACTCTTGTTGCTAGACTGACCTTTTTTCAATTCAAAGATCAAAAAAAAAAAGTATATACCTCCTGCCAGCACATCATCATCATTTCATACACCTGCTTACAGGCTAGTTTGGGCCGATACAAGCGATGCCCTTGGCTAACCATCGTTACCACTTCATAGTTGGAGCTTTTTTCAAAGGGCATTTTTCCTTCCGTAAATACTTCCCACATTAAAACACCTAAAAAAAAAAAAGAAAATAAACATTAAGAAAATAAGCAATAAATTATTAAAATATATATGTCTATTTTGAGCTCTGGGCTCAGGATTTCTGGCAGATAGGTAGTTTGAGATCCATATTCTAGAAAACGTTCACATGTCATCTCTGAACACATCTTATTCTAGTAGCATGGGTTTTAATAAATAACAGTTCTAAAGGTCTCCATGGAACTTTATGCAAGCATAAAACCGTGGCAAATGGTTTCTCTGAGCTGTCTGAATCCTCCTCAATAACTGGAGCTTAATTGATATTGATAAAATGTAAAAATACTGCTTTCTTTCAATGATGAATGTCTTACCAAATGACCAGACATCTGACTTGCTGCTGAATCGGCTGTAATTAAAAACTTCTGGGGGGCACCATTTCACAGGAAATTTAGCCCCTGAGGAGCTTGTGTATTGATCATCAAGGACATACCTAAAACAAGGGAGAGAAAAAAAAAAAAAAAGCATTTTATCCTTCAGTCAGCCTCCAAGCCTGCAAATTATAATTTATATTTGGATTTGAATATTAAAAGCTCATATTGCCACCTAATGGCCATGACTGTTAGCTTCACACAGCTTCCCTGGAGCAGTACTAAGATTTCAGTCAAGACCGGTTCATTTTTCTGATGGCCTCAGAGTCGGCTTCTGTGATTATTAGCTATACAAAACAGGTCTAGGCCACCTGCAAGTTAAATGTCTGTATTAAGAGAGAAAATGATGCAAAAGCATAAATTTCTCGCTCTGTTTCTCACTGGCCAGTCTGGGGACATGCAAGCTCGGTAGCACAGAAAGGTGGCAAAAGCCAAGAGGAGCATGGTCAAACCATGGTGCTTTAACACCTTTCATGTAGGTGCTGCTCGCCACCCCACGCCTCGCACATGCATCACCCACCCAATGTAACACCCACGGGTGCTAACAAGGGCAGGAAATTAACCCCTCTCCAGGTCTCTGCACCTCTCAGCACTTTGGCTAGTGAGACGCAACTCTGAACCATCTATCCCAAGAGTATCCCAAACTCACTGAACAGCCTCTTTCTATCATTTATTTACCGAAATACAAGTTAACAACTATTATCTCTACAGCATGAGCTCTGCTGCCCGAGACACAAGCTCTAATATGCCTCCTGCATCACTACAAGATTAAAATTGGTAAGATTTTCACAGATGCTACAGAAAGTTGCCACTAGAAGACCAGGCAGACCAGAGAGTCAGTTCAAAGCCAGGCCTCTCATGGTAAGCGGTAGACACACTCACTTCTCTAGAGTAAAAACTGCCTAGTTTTGATTTTCCAGCATTAAAATGAGTAAGGAAACAGACAGATGACCACAGAATGAACAATCTTTAAAGGCACTGGGGAAAAAAAAAATTAACTAAAGGATGTTCCCCAGAGAGGTCAAAAAAAGACCATTTTTGTCCATAATTTTGCTGCGTGCGTGTTGCCTTATGACTAAGTAGGTGATTTTTTTCCAAATCCACACAAATGTGTTTGCACACTCAGCCATACCTTGTCATCCCAAAATCTGACACTTTGACCACTCCTGCATCACTCACTAAGCAGTTCCTGGCAGCCTGCAAAGGGAAAGGTTAGAGCTGGATGAAAAACTTGCAGTCTCTTGCAGACAAAATTACAATGGTCTAACAACGACTTTGTTCTCATTGATTAGCAAGTTCACCAGTTTCCCAAGTTCAGTGGTGTATTCTCATTATGCTCTGGAATAAAAAGTACATGTGCATTTGTTCTTGAGAGTACTTGCTTTGACAACTAAACCATTTTGTAAAAATGCACCAGAAAAAATTGTCATCTCGAGGGATTAATGAGTGGTGAAAATGGCACCAGTACAGAACAGAGATATGCTGTTATGTCAGTGCAAGTAGCTATCAACTCTTTATAAACACCTCAGGGATATTTTATTCCATTTTCTCAGGGGAGAGAAACCGCTCATGTTTTTCTATATGGGGCAGCTTTAGAGAGTCACTTAGAACCTCAAGAGCCAACTTAAACTCCTTAAAATTTTCTGCAAGAACAAAAGCAGTCATTTACAAACAGGCTGTTTCAAAAGGATAGAGGTAAGTTCAAAAATAAAAAATTTTAAAAAGAGTGTATTGCCTAATGGGATGTTACCAGGTCTCTGTGGATAAAGCTGTTTCTCTCCAGGTACTCCATTCCTTCACATACATCTTGGCACATCGTGAGCAGGATGTCTTTACTCAAAACTCCCCGTTTTTGTCTCAGGTAATTGAGAAGGCAGCCATGCTCCATGAACTCTGTCACGATGTAAATAGGTCTCTGTTGTGTGCACACACCATACAGCTGAACTAATTTAGGATGCGTTAGCTTCCTGAAAAGATTGAGATTGTGTCATTATTACTTCCTCCTCCCAGCGCTAGCTTTCCACCCCACAGAACTGCAAAAATACCACCTGCCCCAAGTGTTTTTTTTATAATCAGTATACAGCAACACAGGCCTAGAACGAGCAATAAAGTGCCACGCACACAACTCACATCATTACTTTAGCTTCTTCAATGAAATCCTCTTCATACATCGCACCTTCCCGAATTGCCTTGATGGCCACTTTATACTGTGCCCTCCATTTCCCAAGGCGCACGACACCGAACAGACCGCTCCCCAGTTCTCTCATGAACGTCAGTTCCGAGGGATTAATTTCCCATTTCTCTGCAAAACAGAACTAGTGAGAGTCCGTGACTCCTGTACTAAGGAACCTACTGGCCTTGTAAGTGATAAGGAAGCGGAAAGGGAAACCGAATTACAAGCAAATTAGGGAATTTTGGGAGAAAGCGTCTTGGAATTTACTTGAAAACTGAACACTTCTGTACTTCACAAAACAAGTTTTTAGGTAGACATGACCTTTAAGCAGCCCCTGACCAACACAGAAGGCAAAACTCAAACTTTCCTGAGGCCAGTAACTACATTGATATTATCAGACTTGATTTCAACAAGCTGCCATCATAGAAAGTTGTGCCAACGCGTAGCGGCTGCTCACATCACCTGATGTGCCATGCTTAAATCAGGTTATTCCAAATTTGTATAAAAAAAAAGCAACCCCTCCACAGGGATCAAAGGGTGAGTCAGAAGTCTGGAGGCTTACGACGGAACCAAAGGCACAGCTCTTTAATCAGGCAGAGCTTAAGGTGTCTCTTCAAAAAAGCGTGGAGGAAGACGCCGAATTCCCCTGGAGCACTGGCAACACGTTCTGCCTCTCCCCACCGTGCCCTTGCCCCACACGCCTACCACCAGCTGTGACGCCATTGCATGCCGATACTCCGAGCAAGAGTCTCCAAGGCACAGCTTGGACCCGCGTCAGTTAGTATAGCCGATCACAGCACAAAATGAGGTCCTTTCAAAATATTGTAGCATCTCAACACACATAAAATCATTAGAAAAGATGATCATCAGAAAATATAAAACACAATTACCATAGCTGAATCCTGCTGTTGTTGGTGCTGTTGTCTTCTTCGGGGTCACTGGGTAACGCAGCCTGGTAACGAGACCTGAGGTTCAATGACATTTCAAGAGACAGTTTATTTCTGAAATCGTGCCAGGCAGCAAATCAGCCACTTGTTCACTGCAAACTTCAACACTGATTAACAATAAGCTTATCGTTACCTACAGCTTTGATCGTATTTTCCACTATTGCATTGTGTTGACTATTCAAAGTGGCTACAAGAAATACACAGGAGCACTCACTGCATCTAATTTGTTGCATCATCTTTACTGCTGAGAGGTGGATATAGATACATGCATACGTATTTGGGCTTTACTGGCACCAATAAAGGCTGAGGACCCCTTTCACAAATCAGATCAGAACAATTATCTAAAACTCACAATGTTACTTTTGATCATTTCTGTTTCACGCATATAAATCCCACCAGTTTCACACGAAGATTTTATATATACAAAATAAATGCTGCATGCTAGCTGAGTATTCTCCTAAAATCTTGTCAGAATCTTTTTGTCAGAACTTGATATGACAAAAGGAATGAAGCAATTAAAAATGAGTAATAAAATCAGTTATAATAAATCAAAAGCAGGGTTATGTTTTTGAAGCATATTTTCAGAAAGGCATTTTCCAGAATATATTCAGGAAAAGCTGGGTCATCCGAGTTTGATATAAACGTCTGGAATATATAGCTCATGAGAGAAATTTAGGCACAGACTGGACTTGAAAAAAATATAGTATATTAGAATTTGTGCCTTGAATCTGATTCCTAAATTCTCCCCCATCCCATCGTAAAGTGGGTGGGCACCAACATCAGCCATCAGCTAGAGATCTGAAGTGTCTAACCTTTACACGACTCATCTCTAGGGATTTCCCCGAACACCACATTACCGTTCACCTCATCTGTTGGCTATATGGGAAGGTGAGATCATTTTAAGCAGTGGTGACTCGCAGGTAAAAAGCCTGTGCCTGGAGAGTATTCCATTCCCATCCATCTGCTGTGGGTTACCAGCAGCTGATGGAGACACCGCGTGGAGCTAAATGAATGATTTTTCCTGACTCGATACAGCTACTCTGTTACTCTGGGGACAGTAACATAGTTATATATTTTTATACATATATATTTACACAAAACCATTCAAATTATTGCCTACATTGAAAAAAATGTGAGTGTAGCATCTCATGCCTTCCCTGAAAAAGAAGTATCTATAAAAACCCAAAAAACTTTCATTAAAACCCTAAAACACTTCACACTCCTTTTCAAGTTAACTCTCAGTGACAGAAGTAGTCCAGCTCATCTACCTGCTGCATTATGTTTGTGATACTCAATTATTTCTGGAATGGAGTTAAAGAGATGTTTTTCTGCGAGGTAGTACTGCTTCGGTGACGTCACTGTTTCTTTTATATGGTAGTGTCTTATTCCTGATGAACCTTCTCTGGAAGAATAACAGCAATAATAATAATGACAATAATAACAACAACAATTAGGAATAATACAATGTCATTTTTTGTGAAGTTTTTAAGAGGAGCACATCGACTAGGAAAAGGAAACTGACAGGGCCAGTGCAGGTGCTCAGTGTTACACACCTCAGGAACAGCTTGAGTGTCAAAGATCCCAAGTGCTGGTGACTCGCCTCAGACCAAGTTGAAGATTAACTCGTAAAAGGTTAGTTTTAAGCCTGGCAAGCTCCCCAGTCCAGCCTGACGCACGCAGATGCAAACACTTGGGCTGGCAGGAGGGGAGACCAAATGGGGTCAGGGAGCAAGACCTCTTTCCTTGGGTGGAGGTTCAGCTCTATGGTGGATTAAACCAAACGTGACCTAACCACGGAGTCGAGAAGCTCATTTTAGTCACCCGTCTTTCCTATCACAGCAGCCCTCATTTCTTTGTTGAGCTCTCTCCTGGGCTTTCCCCCAGCCCCACGGGTTTGGATACGGATGCAAATGGATTCGGACAAGACATGGCATGCAGAGCAGCCACAGAAACTCACCCGCCAAATTTTGTATAAAGGGAAACTGTATATAGGCCAGGCTGACTTGAGTCTCTCACCACAAAACCACCTTCTTTATCCTAGAACACAAGCACATCGACAGTTTTGTACAAGCGGTTTAAGTCGCATGCCTCTCCCACTCGTTCTGTGACTTGCGCACGCCAAAACCAGCACGAGGTGCTGCGCTCACCTCGTTCCTGAGGAGCTGCTCTGCCTTGCTTCTGTTCAGGTTTCTGCTGTACCACCTGCAACACAACATCAGTAACCAAAACTCCTCCGAGGTGCGCGATTTACATAAAACGCTTACGAAGCATTACAAAGCTACGGATCCAATACATTTAGCATAAGCGAAAGTCAAGAACTGAACCTTCGTTAACCTACAAAAATCAGCCTCTATGACACTGTGCAGTTATCCCACAAAAACTCCCCGAAACAAATCCAGCGAGACCCCACAGAAGCCGATGACGTTCGGGTAATTGAACTAATTTTGCAGCAGAAGCGCTTCTTGAGCCCGCGCGGGCCGCTGGCGGTAGCGGCCCTGAACAGCAGCCCGAGGGCAGGCTGGCAGCCCCGGAGAAGCAGCTGCCCGCAGGCCGGTCGAGCCACCCGCAGCGCTGGCTGCTAGACGGGCATTTCATCTGCTAACTCCATGGTTCTGGTTCTCCGGGGAGGACCCACCTACGAAAGGGGAGGTCGAAAGTGAATTAAACGTCACGGTTGCACCTCCCCAAGCTCTGCGCTGCACAGGCAGGTTAACGCAGCCACAGAAGCACCGACATTTCAGCCACCTGCAGCCAACAGTACAAAGAGGAAAAACGCGCAGCTCGCAAACGGCGCGGTACAATCGTTTTGAGCCATGCCGTCGCGGTGGCAGCCGAGCAGGGAAGTGAGGGAAGGGGCACAGCAGCCCCTAATCAAGTTCCGCTGTTCCGGAGATGGTGGTTTCTCGCCCTTGGCAGATGACCTGGAGCAACGCTCCCTGGGCTGCGCAGTGACTCAGAATTACGGTCCCGAGGTGGTAAGGCACAGAGTGGCTGGACCCGATAAGGCAGCCCGGTTCCTTCCTTCCCTTTCTGCCAGCCCCGTGGCCCGGCCCAGAGCGGGGCAGGGCTCTTAGCATCTTGGCCTCTAAGATGTGAAAGCAACAAAGAACAAGTCCCTCAGGCAAAGCTGAGGGCAAAATCCCCAGACTACATTCTACCTTCTGTCAAAACACAGCCGTAGGAGCCATACGTGGCTGAGAGTAGAGTTCTGGAGCTACTCACATGGTAGTACACGTTAGCGTACGTACCTACCGCTCCGTTTTGCCTAAAAGTCATGAAATACGTCTTAAGCTCTCAGGCGCGACAGTTGATGCTGTACTGAAATTTGAATATCAAGAACAACAGGCTTGGAGATTACAGTGTTAAATTTTATCATGGTGTTCTTCAGTAAGTACTCCATAATTAAACATCAACTGGCAGAAGCTTTTTTTTAAAAAAGCTATACTTTTATAGCTGTTAAGTTATACGCATACACTGAGGCTTAAAGTGCACAGAGTGACATCTTTTCTTGAAAATTAAAGCTGCCTTCCAAAATCTCAGATCTGTTATGTTTACTCTGATTTCCACTGTTTTCTACTCTATTATCTTACTGGCTCACACTTTGGATAGACATGTCACTTTAATATTGAAAAAAACATTCAGTACATTTATAATGGGTAAATTTCCTTTAAAGTTTCCCTTTGTCTAGCAGAGAATTGGAAGGAGGGGTTTTTTTTGCTTTAATAGCGACAGCCTAAAAACTACATGCCTGATGGCCATCTCACTGACCTGACTCTACATTATAAATCACAGCAAAATCAATGAGGAGAATCAGAACATATGCCTGTTTCAAATATTTAAGTTTCATCTCTGAGATAATTGCTACCATATGTAAATAATTGCTTTCAAAACTTTAAAAATACATTGTCATTCTTAAAGCATTGGTTTCATTTTATGATCTTCCAGATTTTAATTCAAATATTCACTTACTCATATTGATCGAGGTTGTTGGACTTCTTTCCTGTTACGTAGTTGCTTGGAATATAACCTTGTTTTCTAAAAAAATATGTAATATGAGTGAAAACATTTAAAATTGCATGCCTAGAAGACGGTGTTTCATTCTACTGATTACCAGAGGTCCCTCGCTGTAATTTATTTATTACTGACCCACCCACTCTACTGCTGATTATACAGAAACTGATTTTCCCCATCAGCATCTCTGTATTAACTTTCAGTGCGCCTCAGAGAAGTGACACGAGCAGAAGTGTCCAAGAAAACCAGCAGAAGGGGTGAAGAAGAGTGACTCCCTACTGCTCTGTCACTTCTGTGCTCACAGGTCCCAGCCAGTCACTGGAAATACGTCTGGAGCCTGCCATGCCCAATAACTCGCAATTACTCCTGACATTGCTCCAGGGACCCGATAAATACTGAAGTATGGAAACCTTCACCTTTAAAACCACAGGGAAAAATTTTAATTTAGGGAATGTAAAGCTGTAGTCATTAAGGCATCGCACTGCAACTCTCAGCTCATTCAAAGAGTGGCCCTAATGATCCAGCTATTAAATAACACGACGATTATTCAAGTCTGGGAGTCGGAGCCTGCCGAGTTGAGCGTTAGCCATATTGCTCCCTAATGAGCCGTTCCCCAGGGAAGCGGGCGTACTGCGCCAGCCTGGCCAGGCTGTGCAGGCTGGCTGCTGCGTTAATTGGGAAACCATAAAGCCTGACAGAAACCACAACTGGAAAAGCTTCCAGTGCTGCAACAGTCATTGCACTCAGGGCCCACTAGCCATTAAGAACTGCACTTCTAAAAATTGGTTTCTGGGGGGCGGAGGGGAAAGATACAGATGAGATTTCAAGGCTGGGGTCCAAAGCGGGGTCTAATACGGTTATTTGTTGATACACAGTAAATCTGAACTGCTACAACAGGGAAACAGACTTACGAACTTTATAACAAAAAAGGAGGAACTTGTGTTTACCCATATTTGTCTCTCGCTTTCCACCAGTGAATGTCATTCTTCTCAATCACCGTATATTCTTCACCTTTCTCTAATCTTAAATCATGATGTTCTGTAGGCTCGAAGTCATACATTGCTACCACTATCTCCTCCTCTTCGTTGCCATTTTCTTCAACTGGAGGAGCTGGTGGCGGAGGCCTTCGCTGAAAACAACCCAACGTTATCAGTTCACCCCGCTCCCCTCCGTCCTGACTCCGACACCAGTGCAAACCAGCTGAGCATCCCGGAGGCAAAAGCTGGGCTAGTTCTGGGTTGCCCCAGGAGCTGCTGGTGGCCCGGCGAGGCCACTGGGGCAGGTGGAGGATGATCGACGCGGGTGGTCCCCATGGGGCCGGCTCACGCCGCAGCTGCCGGCGAAAGGGCAGCACTAGCTGGCCTTGGCTTTTCAACCAGCGGTCGCCTCTCCCACCCACAGCACAGGGACAGCTAAGAGGTGACCCTAAATTTCAATGGGATTTTCTCCAGCCTGGGCTTGAGACAGAGCGCGATGCCCACTGACATCTACAGAAAGAGACCTTTGCTGCAGGATGGGGAAAGAATCACAGGAAATCTAAACACCATCTCAAAACCCAGCGATTACCTATTCAATATTTTGAAGACTCTACCTACCGCACTTTTTTCTGGCACTGGAGACGGCAATCTCATTACACCTAGAAGCAGAGCATAGGAAAGGATCTGTGTCTATCCATTTAGCTAGAAATTTAAAAACTGAATAAAAGGTTTACATTTCAGATAAGGTTTTAATATCTTAATGAGCCTTCCGGATAGTTTAGTAAGTCAGAAAGAATAGACAGCTCCAGTTAGGCATTAGGAAAACACTGACTAAATATTCTTGCAAAAAAAATCCTAAATCAGGTGGCAGGCTACATTCACCACAGGATTTGGCAATATCTGTGCCACACCTGAGCATGCCATGCAGAAATCCTGGAACCAGTTCTCAGATGCAGAAATATATGGGGAAAAAAAAAAGAGAGATAAAAACAGTTGTATAAAAAGGAAGCAGTGTTCCTGTCACCATGATAACTAAAAGTGTTCCTATCAACATCTGCTCTTCTAAAAAAAAAAAAATAATACTCCCCCTGACTCTTGCTTCACTAAAGGCATAAATGTTGTATGTAATTTTTTATTACTTCTCTGAGTTCCAAGAATACTTTTTTCTCCCATGCTGCTTTTTGCCCCACTTAAAAGGCTGAGCTATATGTCAGGTTTTAAATCTTCCTGACGAACAAGGCTGACCACAAGCCACTGTTTATTCTTCAAGTCTTTTAATGCAATTAAATCCACAGGTCCTTAATGTTCCCATTTAAGGCCCTGAGATGTAGGAAACCATCGGGCACTGCTGATTTCACCGGGAGGTAAGCAATGGCTCAATTTCTTTTCCTACTATGGAATTTTTCCTTAAATCAAGGACTAAATTACTGTATCTGTATGTAGAGCGGTATTTCAGTGAGGGTCACACTTGCACATCTCTGCATGCTACAGCATCCGCTGCTGAACAAGCGGAACCTGGGATTTGGACGCTGGAAGATGCACGTGCCTACGGAAGGCACGGTTCATCCAGGTTCAGCATAGGGATGTTTACAAACCTCTAAGAAAATTCAGTCCCATGTCTGCAAATACATTAAGCCCTCTTGTATCATTTTTACACTGGTGTGGTAATACCGAATGCAACACAGTCGTTATTCTTTTACAAGGGTACGTAGAAGTTATTTACTTAAAACTGAAGAGCTGGCAAGGATTTCTAGCTGAATCTTTTTCACCATCAGGTTTTATCCTCAGTGTGAGGTTAACACTTGGTCAAATAAGTTTCAGATGGGAAAAACAAGCCAAGTGAAAAATAAATTCAGCAGCCTCAGTGATTCCTTTCAGCTGTTTCTAAACATTTTTCAGAGGACAATTTACTGGCTTTTATATTTTTAACAAAATGCTTGGGAATTAAACAAACGTTTTGATTTACTTTAGGCACAGTATCAATGATTCACTCTGCTTTATAAATTTGCCTGATGTCTAGGGCACTCAGGTGTGATGACAGGATCATAGAAAAAAGCACATGCCAAAACAACTTCCTATGAAAACATACGTACTTACTGTTTTCAAAAAGATTATATTTTTCACATCCAGGCGCTAATTTTTCTGTCTGTCTGCAACACTGATAAATTCCCTCTGTCCAAAATTTAGGATGATATTTTACCATTATATTGCTGTTGTTCTTTATTTCTACAAGAAAGAGCATATATGGAAAGATTTAAAAATCTGGAAGAGGGACATATTTAATAAATATTACAGTATCTTTGACATGAAGCATAATCTTAATTTTTTTCCTTACTTCAGCATTGCTTCTCTTAGGGACCTTCTTGCAAGTTTACAAGGGGTAATACAATGATTTGTAGAGGACATTTTTAGGATAGTACAATTAGTGTTGTGGAAGGAAAGACAGCTGACATTTGTCTTTATGCCATGGCACAACACCTGCGTTTGGTCTGAAAGGCTCCTTACCCCCCTCTTATGGGCTTGCTGAGTTTCAGAGGTTAGTTATTGCCCTGTTGGTCCTTAGCCCAGGAATTATTTCTTATTACTTTACAGAGCATCTGCAAGTAATGTGAGCATTTGATGGTGGCAGAAAGTATTAAGAGGTTTTTTGGGGGAAGAAGATCTTTACTGACTATGACAGCCTTAATCAGATCGCATCTCAGGGTAGATGGCTCCTGTCATTTTACATCCGTTTAAGTCCCACAATATTGTCTAGCTACATGTATGCAAACAATGAGCTGGCCCAATAAAAATAAAAATCTGTGGGTATATGCAACAGAAGCTCTACCATTTTATTCTTCTATCTTGTTGTGGGTTGACGCCAGCCAGCAGGAAACACCCACACAGCCGCTCAACCCACCCCCCCGACTCAGGACAGGGGAGAGAACAGAAAGAGCAAGAGGGGAAAACTTGTGGCTTGAGATAAAGAGAGTTTAATAACCAAAAGAAAGAAGAAAAAACAAACAAAGAAACCACAGAGTGATTTAAAGGCAATCGCTCCCTATCTCCCACCAAAGCAGACCAATGCCAGGCCAGTCTCTCAGCAATGGCCAATACGGAAGCCAAAAATCTCCAATCCCCATCTTCCTCTACCTCAGTTTCTATTGCCAAGCACGGCGTTATACGGCCTGGAATATGCCTTTGGCCAGGCCAGCTGTCCCAGCTCCCCCAGCCTCCTCGCTGAGGGAACGGAGTGGGGAAAAAGGCAAAGCCTCCCCGCTGCGCCAGCACCGCTCAGCAACAGCTACCGGGCTGGTGCGTTTTCAACACTGTTTTGGCCACAAATGCAAAACACAGCACCAAGGTAACTCCACCCCAGCCAGACAGCTCAAGTAAAGGTATCTAATCATGTCAGGTGTTAAGTAGGAGCAATTTCCATTACCTTCTTTCAGATTCCTCACCCACTGATCCCGGCTTTGTGCACTCGGTGCAAAAATATAAAGTGTATTGGCATCATATACAACCTGGAAGAGGGGATAAATACAGATATTCACCTGGTAATATTCATTTATTTATTCCTCAGGAAAAAGAACAAGACAAATGACTGTTACATTTGGCAATACTAGTGCCCTCAGCCACAAAAATGCAGAAACTGGGAGAAGGTTTTTCAGGTTTACTATTCACACATGGTGCTTTCAGCAGAATACGGAAGGATTTTGTAATGGTATATTATCTTGAAAGCATTCCTTCAAACATTTCCTTCACACTTTGCTTTGTTCATTCTTCACCATGTGTCTTCTAGAAACAGTTCCATTTAACTGCTAAACCTATTTCATAATCAGACATCCTTTGTTCCCAGCCATTTCATAACTCCTTGTGGTTCTGTACTGCTCTGGGGTGATTCCTGACTTTTTCTTCACTGCTTGTGTTGGTGGAAAGCAAGTATTGCCCTGGGAGAAAGGGGCCAGAGTCCCCCTGAGGCAGTGGGCTTCACCATCACTCCAACAGTTGCCTCTATCGTAAGCATCCAAACCGCCATATCTCAACATTTCTTCTTCCCCTCTAAGCACTCCATGTTTATTTCCATTCAGTTCACAATGGAAGAAAATGCAACAATTTATCTTTATTTTCTTGCATAATGTAATGGTAATAAAATTGAACGTGAAAGAATGAAGACAGGGAAAATGGGCTGCCAGTTAACCCATTTTGGGGGAAGACCAGGACAAGGCACTTTCCAGGCAAAACGCAAGCAGAGAAGGTGGGGAAAAGAAAGAGACCAAATATATGAGGTACAACTCCCAAAAGGAAGGGACTGCAGGGGGAGAAGAGCTTGCTGGGGACAGTTTTTAATCACTGAACCTGAACCACCTCTGACACAGCCCCAGAGAGCCAGAGAAATGACAATAATTTCAAGCAAGTTACATACAAATGGCTTGGCACTGTTGAAAAGAACATGACAATTTATGTTTTATATAAAAGGAACATACCTGAAATGGATATTTATTTTGACAGGGAATAATACCATCACTTTTTACAACTTCTACACATTTAATCCTTGAAATATCCACAGATCCCTTTCTGTACTTTTTCTACAAGAAAAAAAAAAATATGTCAAATATAACAATTTATTTAATTCTCTTTTTTTTTCCGGCAGAGACTTCTTGCTTTCTTTTCCATTTATGATACTGATGTTGCTTTAACTGCAGAAGTCATTTGAAAAATGAGAGAGAGGGTGTAAAGACCTACACTGGTGAAAGTGCAAAGTACAGTGCAATTGCTTAGTAAAAAGTACCACTTATTTCTATATAAATATTTCTGTATTTCAGTTGTAGTCATGGGTTTAATCTACTCTTCTTTGCAAAAAAAAAAAAAAAACACAACTTCGGTACAGATGAAGGAAGGCTTCCCCCTTGCTAATTTTAAGTTATGATTAAAATCCATGAGGAAAATAGGTGCCAATGCATCGTATCATCTGCTCCCTCACTCTGCTGCTGAAGTGCTCCTTCCATTTTGTGGCTACTGCCGTATTTCAGCAAATTTCCAGAGAAACTGGGACGCTGCTCAAG